TCTCAGCGGGATGGAGTGACTATTACTTAAGGCTAAGCACAGGTCTGAGAGAGCATTGAAATAAAACACGGTATGCAGTACTAAAGAACCACAGTGTGGACAATGTTGATGTATATATGTGACCCTGGACCATGGACCACAAAACCAGTCATTAGGGTCAATTTTTTTAAATTGAGATTCATACATCATCTGAAAGCGGAATGAATAAGCTTTCCATTGATGTATGGTTTGTTAGAATAGGACAATATTTGGCCGAGATACAGCTATTTGAAATCTGGAATCTGAGGGTGCAAAAAAATCTAAATATTGAGAAAATCGCCTTTAAAGTTGTCCAAATGAAGTTCTTAGCATTGCATATTACTAATCAAAAATTCAGTTTTAATATATTTACATTAAATATATCTTCATGGAACATGTTATATCCTAATGATTTTTGGCATAAAAGAAAAATCAATAATTTTGACCCATACAATGTATTTTTGGCTATTGCTACAAATATACCCCAGCGACTTGAGAATGGTTTTGTGGTCCAGGGTCACATATAGTCTCTGACCTGTAAGCAATAACAGAATGTTATTCTACGGATGCTCTACATTGATATACAAGGTCTGTAAATATGTGTTTCACATTATAACTGTTAGTGTTTGTTACATTTTTGCATGTTAACTATGGTGTATTGACCAATCAATATCCAGGACTGTGACTATTTTATAAATATACAACAGCTTTGAAGGTGGCTCTCCAATCTGATGAAAGATAGATATAGATAGATAAACTAGCCCGACATACACTCGCAGATGACCGATTGTTGGCTTGACGTGTCCCGGCCTTAATAAACCTGCTGTTGTCTGTGTCCTTTAATGTTTATTAGACAACTAAAGAAAAAGAGAAAATCACTCACTACTCTTGACTGAATCATTTTTTTTAACTTTAATAAAAATGAGTATAATTCATTCATACAGTGTTGTATTTTGATTACTTTATTCAGTTTTTGCAGTATACACCCCTAGATGGATGTATGGTTAGACAAATACTGACTAAACTAGATAGATAAATGTCTAGATAGATACACACATACATACATAGATTCACCTTTGTTTGTGTGAGTCAGGCTAAGTGAAAATGCAGAGAGTGGGATGGCACCGGAGGTTGTGTACGTGTGGATGTGTCAGATGAAACACCTGCAGTTCAGTCTTAATGTGTGTGAAAGTGTGTACAGCACCGTGGAGAATGCAGCCATTTACCACAGCAGTGTCAGAGAGAGGGGTTGTAAGTGTGTGGATGTTCTGGAGGAAGGGACGGGGTGGTCGACGGGTCACAGGGTTTCACACCAATAACATGCTTTTACCTCACCGACAAAAAATTAGAAGGTATTTATCATCGAATTTGCACTGCCATTTGGAAAAAAAGGGGCAAGAATTGGGCAGAGGGGTGAGACAGGTGAAGCGCGAGAGAAAGAGAGTGAGAGAGAGAAAGAAAGAAAGATGAGAATTAACAGTGACAGCTTGCCAGCTTTCTTTAATGAGAACGGCTTAATTGGATGGTTAGCAGGGATGTCACATCTAAAGTGACAGGCTGTGTGAGTGGGAGAGTAAATATTAATACAAGATCTCTGGGATTTTCATTAGCCTTTCTTTCTTTATTTATGTTGCACTTTCCATACATGACAAGCAACACTGCAGTGTTGGGCAGACAGTATAGTTCTTTTAAATACATTTTACACGTGTGCACTTGTGCTTTCCATTGTGCTCGTCTTGTCGTCGCTTGTGCCTGGTTACCATAGTCACTAGATTTAATCTAACAAAGCATTAACGCCTCACAAAGAAAAGCTTCATTGAGTCTGTGTGGTTAATCAGCAGTGCTTTGCCCTCCCTGACAATAAGTGAAGACTCTTGCGGATCTAGAAATTATATTTTGCACAAAAATTAACCATATTTGTAGGACCATTGATTTTTTTTCCATTTTCTTGTAAATTAAGTACATTTCTTCTTCGTATTTTCATTACATAAAGAAACTACTTATTATTTTTGATGTTTTTATTAATTTCTAACATTTGATTTTCATTTTTAATACAGTAAGAAATACTGCAATAAAATATTTTTATTTAATTTTTTTTTTACTAAGATGTGTAGATACTTACCAATTTAAATATTTTTTTTTTTTACTTTTTACTTAAAGGGTTAGTTCACCCAAAAATTTAAATTAGACCATAAATTACTCACCCTCAAGTCATCCTAGGTGTATATGACTTTCTTCTTTCAGACGAATCCAGTCGGAGTTATATTAAAAATGGTCTTTGATCTTTCAAGCTCTATCGTTGTACTCAGTGGGTGTTGCAGTGCTTCGGTTCAAATGACGTGAAATAAAAAGCACCCTTCCACAAAAAAGGGCCCGGGGGGTGAACAAAGGCCTCCTGTAGCGAATCGATGCGTTTTTGTAAGAAAAATATCCATATTCAAAACGTAATAATCACTTGAATCTAGCTTGCGC